TCTGTGCATCCTTGGTGGAGAACCCCCTACATTCACCTGGTGGAGCTTTTGCTACTTATCCTGTGCTTCTGTAGGTGCAAAATTGTGTCGCTGAACAACTGTGCTTCTCTGGTACAAGTGCTGGCAATATCAGGAGCACTCAGATGTTTTTGTTAGTTTATACCTATAATAGAAAGTTGGATTTGCATCTACTGCAGGAGTCACTGAGAGAAGTGGGCTTTGTGGGCACAGAACGGTTTTTTGCTTGTTTTTTTATTTTACCCTTGATGTGGAGACAGCTGGGAGTGCTACTCAGCAGCCTCTGTGTGTATTGAAATTGTGACTGGATACATCTGTGTCTCAAGAAAAACTGTATTAACAGGATGCTACCCCATTTAGTGTCACAGCCTTATTATATTATAAAAAATATTTCACAGTGCATGAATTCACATATATTAAGTAATCATAAATAAGTCTAAATTACATAGGCCCAGAATAATGAGCAAGAAGTCTGTCTGTGGATTTATTTATTACCTTTTCTTCTATTAACTTTCTGCTAAGGTTGCAATTTAGCAGCTAGTTTGTGTTGGTCAGTGACCCATCTGCTGCCAAAAGCCGCTGGTGGTTTCTAAGGGTGCAGGAGCCATCCCACACCCCTCTGCTGTACAGCTAATGGATGCGTAGCAGGTATCTGCTGGTGAGGTGCTGTGGTGTATTGCACATGGAAACTTAGGAGCCAGCTTAATATTAGGGGGGCATAGTCCAACTTTTATTGCTGAAGCATTTGTGAAACTTTTCTTTTGCTTCCAGTAAATGTGGGGGTTTTTTTTGTTGTTTTTTTTGGGTTTTTTAATGGATTGTTAATGTTACATTATTAGCAGAAATTACGTTTTGGAAGAAGTCTGAAAAGGAAAAAGGCAAACAATTCACAAATTCAGAGCTCTTTGTCAGCTGTGTTACTACGAACGTAACACATTTGCAGCACACCTTTACCAGGTCATTCTCACACAGTCCATATATTCAATTTCTCTCATGTTCCCTCTTTTCCACTAAGGTGTATGTCTTGCCTTTGCCACGTTCTCTTCCTCTCTTCATTTCCCTTGGAGAAAGCTCTGGCTTTGCCTGGGGGTGCACGTTGCTGCCAGAGTGGGCTCTCCCCTATTTTTCTGTAAGGAGCTGGGTTTGAACGCACTGCCTGTTTCCCCCACAATCAGTGGGTTACACTTTGTAAGCGACTTGTGTTTTCTACTTCCCATCCTCTTTGCCATCTGTCTGTAGATCTTAGTATGCAGTCTGTTAGGACTTGCCAAGAAGGGTTTTATTAATATTTATTTAATGGGATTTTCAATCTTTGACTCTTTAATCCATGTTGGAAAAAAATATTAAATCGTGACAATCCGTAGGTGCCTTGTAACTAAATCACATTCACTTAACCCAGGGAAGAATCATTTCTAAAGTACTTCTTCCTGTCTCACAAGAGCTTAGTGGTTGTCTTGTTTATTATCTTGCTGTGGTTAAAATTGTCACAGTGGGGGGGGGGGAAGAAAAGAAAAATTGTTAATGCAGTTGTTTGTGTGTCTTGCCCTAGATTATCGTTATCATTTTTTAGCATTTTTTTTTCCTAATGAACAGAAGCAACTGTGAAAGGAGAAAATGCTGAAAACAAACAGTACAACTATAAATAAAATGAATTATTTTCATGTGATGCAAGCCAGGGGAAAAAACCTAGCTCAATATTCTATGACTTCTTGACATTCAAGGTGTGATCAGAGGTTACTTATCATCCACAGGAAGTGGGAAACAAGTTAATTAAAGTTTTCCACCCTTTCACTGAATGAAGTGTCTCCCAGTTTGAGATGCATTATTTGAACACTTCTTTCTCAGTAAGCTCTGGCACATGCTTTTTACTTCTGTTGGTATTCAAATCCAATATTTTCAAGTTCTAGAAAGCTAGAAAGAGCATTGCAATTTCATCTTATGAAACTGTATGTTTGGAATTTTATTTCCATTGTCTCAAATAATAGTAGATAATTTTAATTATTGTATTAAACGTAAAATGAGTACAAGATTATGCTTTTTCCTCTGCATTCAACCCCCAGTGTATTGTTTGTTTAGAAGCTTTTTTGCTTTGGAAAACATTTAATATGACACCAATTAGAGTTCTGTATAACTGTGACTCCTGCTGACACACGAATTCCAGTCGTGGGATAGGATTACAACGCATCATTCAGGAGGGGGGGGGGAGAAGTAATTTCTTGTGGTCTTAAAGAAAGCTTCAATTATCTGTATTTGCAACTAAGGAGCTCAAAGCCCATATGAACTATGCCTGTTTATTCAGGAATTACTCCTTTCTCTTGTCTATCATCTTCAAATGCAGCCAATTATTAGGAGTAGTTTCTTTCCCCAGGGACCCGGGGAAGAGGTGTGGTGTCTGACTGACTCCAGCAGAGCATCGTGCAGAGTTGGTGAGAGCTTGTTAAAGAGCATGTGGAGCTTAGAGGAGATGAGCACCACTGCATAATGTACACACTTGCTTCCTCCAAACAGTCTGACATGAAGATTGTGGTGTCAGGTACCAGCACAGATGAAAAATAAGAGGAGGTCACCTTTTTATAATACTTGTACAGCACACTCTCAACAAGGGATTTTTTATATTTCCAGATATTTATTTTTTTAAAAATTTTTGTTAAGCTTAATTGACTTTAATCCTAAATTTAATTTCAGGTGACTACACTTTTAAATGTGTTTTACCTGCTCTTTTCCCTTGTGCCAACTGGGATTGTGAAACACAACATGATCTGCTGCAGATGATGCTTAATCCTGACAAGTCAGACAGGTCCAAAGCCAGCCTTGTCTCACCACTCAGAGCCTGCAGGGACAGTGGGCTGTGGCAGAGTGACGAGGTGTCCCTGGAACAATTTGGCTTCTGCAGCAGCCAAACAAGCTCTGCGTGGTATTCATGTCCTTCCTCATTGCCATAATCTCCCTCTGATTTTTGACATTTTTGTTGCACACCCTGATGCAAGGAGAATGTTCTCCTTGCTAATCACCAACCTTAGGCAATAAATTTGAAATAGAAATCCTCTTTTCAACATAAGATGTTGCTTGGGGCACAAACAAGGTCTACTGGGCCAGTCTTTCCTGACCTGCTAGTCTTCCACCTAGTAAATAAATTAGCTCCTTTTGGTTTTTCCTTTACAAATGCTGTTTGATGGAAGGAATGTGTTGGTCAGATCCTGTTTCATGTCCTCCCGGGTCCCAGGCAGACTTCAGATCACTGATGCTCTGATCTTACCCTTCATGCTCATGTTACATTTTTTCATCCTTGTTTTTGGAAGGCACTGTTGACCAGTGTCATCAATCTCAGTGTGTTATTTGTTAATATTTTCCTTAGACATTTGCTCTTAAAGGCAACAAGGTAGGTCACCATGTTTGGATTATCCTTGGACACTATCTTAAAAACTGGAAAGAGGGTGGAAATACCTGTCTTACAGGGGGTATAAAAGAGATGGAAGGGCAAGGAGGCAAATGGGAGTCTGAGGAGACTAAATCTGTCACGGTCACAGCTCTATGAGCACTTCAGAGGCCATGGAGCATTGCTCCCCTCTTGCAGGGCATCTCTTTCTTCTGGAATTAGGATTTCTGGTCTGTATACTGTGAGGTTTTTAAGTAGCTGTATCTCTGTGAATCCCTGAAGGCCTCCACACAGAAATCAGGATTTTCATTAGCAGAGTGCTCTCTTCCATGTACTTTCTGGGGTAGAGTTTTAATTTTTCTTTTTAAGCAGGAGTGTTACAGCTTCTTCAGCTATTTGCATTTGTAGTCAAGATCAGGATTTTAATAGGTATAGTCAGGCAGTCATTCAGTTATGAGGATATCAAGTGACCTAAATTACATGTGTTAGAAGAAAGGAATAGCTGAGACTGGAATTCACTTAAATACCTTGAAGTAACTACAGCAGGATGTGGATTAGTTCTGATCAAATGACTATTTTATTACTGCGGAATAAATGGATTTTTTTTGAGCTGCAAAACTACTGTGCCTTACCCAGTGTTGAGAATTGGCAGTTAAAACTCCTTGAGTGCACATGAAACCAGTGTCAAGTGCCTGAGCTTTTTGGAAATTTAATTATCATGGAATATATGTATATTTGTAGAGACTAGTAGTTACCATTTGCCTGCTTTGTGTTTGTTAAAATTAAAAACTAGTAAATATTCCCTAGCATCTCTTTCTTAAATTACTGGAAGTCTTGGCAATTAGACACCTCAATGAAACAATCTTTGTTGAAACCACCAGTGGTTCTTTCTGTGAGAATTACAGACTCTGCCATTTAGAAGAAAGAGAATTAGCAAGGCTCTGCTGGGTAGGTCTGCAGCTGGAGCCAGACTTCTGCACTGAAAGGTGATGGTTTTGGTCTCACCCACAGAGTTCTTGCTTCAAAATAAGAAGGAAGCTATGCATATTTGGGGTAGTAAAGGGGATAGATCTGTACTTTTATTTTTGTTGTCGTTGGCTATTTTCCTTTTGATCCATCATGGCAGAGTAATCCAACCAATTTCAGTGCAGATCTTCAGGATTTACTCTAGCCTAGGCAGAATCTGGGCAAAGCAATGTTGTAACTTTTTAACTACTTTAATATCTTTTTGTCTGGGAGGAGTTAATTGATAAAACACAATGATTTTTTCCTGTTCAGATTTGGAGTCATCTAAAGCTAGATGCATGACTCAGGCAGTACAAAAAGAAGATAACATGTTTTTTTCAACAAACTCATTTAATAGTTTGGGGTTTCTGGGCAATCGGTCCCGTCTTGTGTTTTGGAACATTTTCCTCCCTGCCTAGCTGAATGTACAAAATTACCCACTTCAGTACCCTTCTCCCTTCCAGAAAACCCACAAATACTTTTTTTCTTGGTTGTTTGGGGTTTTTTTTGGTTGGTGCTTTGGGGTTGTTGAGTTCTTTTTGCATCAAACTGAATGCCACACTCCAAGTGATGATGCTGACTGTTAATTTTTCTTTCCCAGGGAGTTGAGGTGCAGACAGATTATGTTCCCCTGCTGAATTCCCTTGCCCTGTACGGCTGGCAGCTGACCTGCGTGCTGCCCACTCCCATTGTGAAGACAAACAGGTAGGCAGGGGGATGGGTGCTGCGTTTCAGCTGGGGAAGTGGCTGCACAAGCACCAGAGCTGGTACCAGCAAATCTCTGGGCAGTCAGCCTGGATTTCCTTGCATGCTCATGGCAGCTGCCCCTGCAAACCCTGCTGCTGCAGCTGTGGGCTGGGTCTTCTGAGCATCACAGGCTGCAGGTGGCAGGAAGCTGCTGGGCCAAGTGCTGCAAGGTGACAGTGTGGTTTCTGCATGAATGTTCTGGGTATGGTCTGTGCTTCTCTGTAAACTCCTCGATTGTAAAATTCCTGGCCTAGATCTCCCAGAGCAAAGACAAAATGTGTGACACCGTTCAGAGTGAGTGAGATATTGCCTGTCTGAAGAAAAGTAATTTTATTCTTAATGGATATCTGTCTAATGCTGCTGATTTGCACAGTCTGACTGAGCAGAACCATGTGAGATTGGTGTATCATTAGTCTAGTAGCCTTGTTTGCATATATAATCATTCTGCAGTCTATTTTGCTACTATTAATATTCTGAGTTTTTAAATATAAATGCAGGTCACTTAAAAATACTCTTCATAACTGTCGTGAAAAACAATCATCCCTCTTTGTAATCATGAAGATGGTGCTTTCTGAATTTTCACTGGTCAGGAATATATTTTTATATATATACCAATATAATCAGTCATGATTTTTTATCTTAAAAAGAGTAAAAATATGCCCAGTTCCTTATGAGATCTAGATGAAGACTACTCCTACACATAAAAACCTAAAAAGTAAAGGCCATCTGTGCTGGGGGAAAAGTGATATTTAAGTTTTTCATAAATGTTTAAATATAGGAATGAATAGAAAATCACAGTTATGATTTGTAAGCCCTTTCTCTTAAAGGTATAGATGGTTTTCTTTCTTTTCTAGTTTGCCATATCCCATTTATAACTTCAGTAACACAGGTCAGGTTGATGGTGCAGAAGAGCACCCCCCCAGTCTAACTGTATTTGGTTGTACCTCCTACTGTGTTGCAGACCTGTAGGGAGCACCCAGCCCCATTCCCTGGATCAGAGCCCCAGGAGGGAGGCAGGGAATGAGCTGGTGCTGCTGGGACGTGGCTACACGCAGGCCCTGCGGGGCCCGGGTTTCTTGCTTTATGTTTGAAACAATTTCTTCTGTGTTTACACCCTAATGCCAAAACATTCAGCAAAAGTGTGTCACAGGCTGACAGGCTCTGTCGGGCTGAACAGTTGCTCTTTTTTCCCCAGAAAATACCAGGCTGCTTAAAGGCACTGGGGACAGGCTATGTTTAGGTCATTCTTCATTTTGTTCTACTTTGACCTGCAGAAATAAATGACTGAGATGGATTTTCTCTTTGAATGATGCTGGATGTGAATTTAATTCATTCTCAGGAGTGTGCATTTTTTTTTTTCAGGGAAGGGAATTTGTCTACAAAGCAAATTGTATTTCTTCAGAGACCTTTCTTGCCCCAGAAAGCAAAGAAGAAAGAATCTAAGGTAAATAACCTTGAGTTTCTGGTTTCTTTGGGTTTTTTTGGTGGTATTTTAATATTGTAATTGATTTCCTGTAGAAGCAGAAATGGCCTGTTGAATGTTTCTCTGTTACAGTAGCAAGACACAACAAATCAAACTGTTCAAATGAAAGGAACAAAAAATGCTCAAATGATGTGAAAGTTCTTACATTTCATTCTCTGTTGAGCTCACAGCAGCAGAAGAGATGTGTATTTCTCTTTACACAAACTGGCCATAAATCTTCATATGTGACCTAAACTTCTCTGCCCATGTTCACTGCCTGCAAGGTGGATCCCACACTGTTTTCCCTCACCCACTGCCTGTCTTCTCTCTTTAAATTGCTGTCTCCTTGTTTTGTGTTTTGGTAGAGCTGAGCACAGTGTAGCCTGATCTTGGCTGGTGTGTGAATGTTAATGAATTCTGCTAGAATTTAACCAAAAAAACCCTCTCAAATCCAGCTAAATTATCTGAGAATGTAGCTGACAGCTAATGGTGTATGTATATGGATATACATGTGTATTCCCATCTCCATTTTTAAATGTGTAGCTGAGGGAACCCTTTCCCCAACCTGTCACACTGTGACTGGCAACTGGGAAAGTGCCAACCTTCCTACAGTGAGACAACTGGCATTGCCCTTCCAGTATGCAAGGAATCAGAAAAGCCAGGTGAGGTATGGAAAGGACCTCTGAATCGTGTGATGGGAAGGTAGCAGCTTTCCAGTTATTAAGACAGGCTCATTTTATTCTAGCTCTGTGCATTCAAGTGAGTCCTGGCTGGCCAAATGTCACCTGAAGGAGTGGTGCACTCGAGGCCCTGCAGAAGCTGAGCTAGAGTAGGAGACTGGAGACACTAAGCAGAGCTAAGCACTAGGAGCATCTTACTCAACATTTTAGTTGATTACAGACAGGTTTCATCTATAAAGCCTCACTGTTTTGGAGTGTGGTCCTGTGAAGGTCATGTTTTAGATACAATGGAGATCAGGAGAGTGTTTGAACTGACTGAAGTAGGATTGAACCACTGGGAGCACGACTGTGGTTTAGGATTTGCCCTCTCTCACTAGCACAGCTGGAGCCCAGAGTATTCTGTCAACTTGTTACAAAGCCCATCTTTCTTGGTTCTTCCTCTTTGTTTTCAGGGGATTAAAGGCATCTTGGGGTAAGGGCTGGAGTGCATGTATTTGGGCATTCTTTTCCTACCACCCACCATGTGTGATTTTAATGGAAGGGGTGGGAACCTTGAAGTGGTTGTATGTCTTTAAATAGAGAAATTAATCTGATACTGATTTCTTGTATTATTATAACAAATGCATACCCTCCAGATGACTCAAAACTTTGTTTAAATATTTTCATCTGGGAATACAAAAACTTATATAACAGTGTCTGGTTGACAAAACATAGGATTTACTCATTGGCAGTATTAAATATACAGACATATTTGATGACAAAAATAACTACAGCACATTTTCATACCAAAGGTCAAGGGAAAATGGGGCATGTTGATTAATTATGTAAACAGATGTAAGACTGGTTCAACGCCTGTAATTGGTTGTTGTGAGTCACATCAAAGATGCCAAACCTGGCATTTGATTAAGTTGCTGAATATTCTGCACATACAATGTGGCAGGCTCTTAGGGGTTTTTTTAACTTGTGATACTGCATGTCTAGAATGTTGAGAGAAAACCCCTCAGAGGAGGGAAATAGGCTGATAGGATTAAAAGGACAATGCAGTGTTGGAGACTGATCCATCCTATCTATGCACACCAACTGGCTGCTGTTCAGTTCAGCCAGAGGAACTGAAAAGGAAACATGCAAGGAGTGGTGCAACCTATTTTTCTCTTCAGTAAGACAGAAGTGCTCTTATTAGTGTAATACTCATTCACTTTATACAAAAGTGCTGCTTATTTCAGCAGAAAGAGGCTGTATGCATTTTTATGACGTACAATACCTAAGTATACATGCACGCAGAGTCTCCCACAGTTTGATCTTTATCACATTCAGGGCCTTCTATCAAAGAGAGCTTTGAGTTAAAGGGGAGCTGTGGGTGCCCAGCACCTCTGCAAATCAAAGAGGAAAATATTCAGGTGTCTCTGAATTTTAAACAGTTGAGCTGTAGAACTGAGATGCTATCTTTCACTTAAATATCATTACAATTTAGAGAAAGAGGAAAAATAGCTTTCTTTAAACCCAAACACAAGAAGAAACTTCTGAAAGCCAGTTTCTTTTTTCTTTTTTCCTTTTTTCTTTTCACATTAGCTTCTGGCCAGCCTAAGGAAAGAACGTGGCTCCATCTTTGTAATCTAATAAGCTTAATAGTTTTTGAATGGCTTTTTGATTAAGGAATAAATAGCTAGATCAAAAATTGATGAACATGAGTCCTTCTTTTGATCAGCTTTGGCATAGACCTGGTTGCACTGGAAAAATGGCTTTAGGACCACAGCTGAACTTGCTCAGTGTCCTGATGAGGTTATTTATCCATCCCTGAGTTTTCATCAGCATGGACACTGTGTTGTGCACATTCCCATGTGCCTAGCAAACTTGTGTAGGTTGGCTTAGCAGTGGCTTGCAAAATGGTCTGGCTTTTCTTGGGAATGTCCATATATTTTTTGAAGAATGCATCACAGTCTCTTTTCTCTGTGTAACAGATACATGTGTAGGCATAAATGATTTTAAGCTGTCTCATATAGTCATGCCATTTTAAAAATCTTGGCTCTTTTTGGTCAAACTAGTCTTTGAATTAGAACAATAGAAACATTTCTACTCAGGAAAGCAGCTGTCCATGTGAGATTGCCTCCAGTAGTATTTAACATCTGATCTCTTACTTGTAGTTTCACTGGAGGTTCTCCAAAGATGATGTGCACAACAGACAAATGAAGAAATCCATGAAGGCAAAATTAAGTATGAGGGAGAAACAAATGGCAGAGAAGCAAGAATCTGAAGTCTCAGAGAACACAAGAAACTTAGAAGCACAGATCTCAGCAGCAGCCAAGCCTGATCCAGAACAGCAGCTGGATGACGTCATAGACTTGGGCGATGAGGTAGCAGGGACCAACGACAGTGGTACCCACCACGATGGGGCATCAGAAGAAACTTGTCCTGCCAGTTATGACACTGATGACAATGAGGCACAGGTCTGCCTCAGCCAGAGCACGTCTGGCTGCTGTGCCGACCAGGGGACAGAGGGGGCAGACTGTGCTCCTGTGCCTGACAGTGGCTGCCCTGGGGTGGGACTGGAGGTGGACAGTGGCAGCTCCTGCCTGTGAGACCTGCTGTCAAGAATCCTGTGAGTTGCTGATACTTTGCCAAGAGAAAAGAACAGATTTGGCTAATCACCATCTCTAACTCCATTGCTCAGTTCAGCATTTCTTTAGCACTGTACTTATATTGCTCCTTAGCACACTGATATCTTGGTGTTTGAAGTAACTAGAGGGCCCGGGGCCTTTGAACACACAGAAATTAATTGCAAAATTCCGTCCACTGTACAGAGTGGGAAATGCCCTGCACTGTCTCCTCCTGCGTTTTTTCTGTGACCAACCTGAGCAAACTAGGTTTGTATCTAGGTCAGGGTAAACGTTCCTCTTGGTCACATTTTGCTCTATAATACTTTCTTGACCATGTATCTTTGCTGGAGAAGTTACTGTGCCATATGTTATTTTGTCATTAAGCTTTTAGTGTCAGGAAAATGGTATTTGGGCTTAAACAGGCTGAAATGGGAAAGCTTAGCTAAGGTGGCTGTTTTCTGTATTTATCGCAAATTGCGCACTCCCTGGTGATACTCTCTTCTGAATGTTATTAATTGTTGCAGGTCTGTAAGCAATAAGCAAATCCTGTGCCTGTTGTGGGCACAGTGAGTAAACAACACCCTGGTGAATCTCTGCGAGGCAGATGATTCCAGTATAAAACGCAGTTTCCTATTTGCTCACTTGTAGGTTCTCTTTGCCAATCCAAGGGTCATCAGTAGTTGTGAGGGCTTCAGAATATAGAAAAACAAGGAACAAAATTGCAGGTAAAAGGTCCATCTTTCAATGGCCATCTTGACTAAAATTTGGATTAGATGTTACCTCCTGACCCTCCCAGGTGACTTTGCACCATCTCCTCACTGTTACAAGTTGTACTGAAGAACTGAAATTGTACACAAATGACAGGGGTTGGTGGGCAACAAATGTCACTGAAATATCCTAATGAATGGAAACACCTTAATAGAGAAGGGTTTTTTTAATATAAGTAACCATATTTGGGGACTGATACATAATGAAATTCTGTACAATTACCAACGTTTTTATGTCTGGAGCTACATTAAGATATTTACAAGTGAATGTACATGTTTTGCATAGTTACTGTGGCAATGTTCTCCAAGTACTTCAGTGTTCTTAAAGATATAGGAAGTAGTTGTTTCTCCTTAACCACTTTCATCCCCATTTAGAAGTGGTCAGGTAATCTGGGAACAAGGTGAGAATACATTTTAAAGTCCCGTGCTTTTTGTTCTTCTAAAGCAAGAGGCTCCATAAGTGATTTGCTGTTTTTTCTTTTGACTGATTTTTGCCTGATAATATTGCTTAGGCTTCAAATTAAAGTGCTGTACAGATAACTATGTTCTGGATCAGATAGGCACCTAGAGTGGTTCAAAAGCATCTTCCACACCTAAAAATGTTGCAGTTGGGAGAGCATTGCAGACAAGGGAAAGATCATACCACTTGGAATATTCATCTGAACTGGGACAACAACACTCAAAAGTTTAAACCATTCCATTTCATACTCACAAAGCACAGGGAAATTCCTTCCATTGATTAAAGAGGTTTTTATTTTTAATTCAGTGGCTTAACCACAGGTCTGTAACTTTTATTTCTGGTGGTATTTTTCAGTTATTTCATTCTGTTCCTTGAGATTAGGCTGAAGTTCCAACAGCCTCAGTAATAGGTTGTTTCAGTTGCTCTACTTAAATACAAGGTCTCTGCTCTGTACAGTTTGAAGTACCTGTTTGCAAATTTTATTAGCATAAGATGGTTTCTATTTTAAGAACTAGCTTTGTATTAATCTTGTTTAAAGATTCACTGTATTTAATGAACATTTTACTAGTAGAAAGTGTTGCAGTAGCAAGAACTGTCCAAATACTTTTGAATAGAAAGTGTTTATTGGATTGCTATTTGACCTTGTGACTGGATCCCAACTGCTTACGAAACTAAAGAAAAATAAAGGTCATGAGGAGATTTCTCATTTGTGGTACTTGCACAGCTGCCTGTAATTTGTCCCAAAAAGGAGAAATTTGGGGTCTGTAAGTGGCAATGAAGAGAAGCTCCTTACTTCTGAGTTAGCAGTAGCTACTAGTGCTAGAGAACTGGTTGGTTTTCCATCACCAGTCTGACAGAGTGTAAGGGTCTGTGAGAAAGTTGCACTTGTTTCAGTGAAAGCTGCTGGAGCTTGGGAAGTTGGGAGGATTTGAAGAGAAGATTCATGTTTTTTGAGTTGAAAGGGGGCAAGTGGTTATGATTTGAGAGTCAAATAATCCATTCCAACCTGTGACTTTGAATCGTTCTGAGTGAGTTCAGCTGTCTGGAGTCGTGCCCATGTGTTCTTCATGCCCCTGTCCCCAGTGAACAGAGAGAGCTTCAACTGCCTCGTGGATGGGTGACACAGATGGGACGAGGGCTGGGGAGGGCAGGCTTGGGCTGCAGAAGCAAAGCTCCACAGCTGCATTTTATCTCAGCTGCCTTTGCCATCTGGGGCTTGACAAAGCAAGACCAGCAGTGGCCAGGGAAGTGAAAGAAAGTTATTGTCACCTTATTTGAAGCCTGAATGGAGAAGAGAAAGGGTTGACCAGAGCTGAACTTCTGTACCTCAACACCTGACCAATGCAGGGAAGTACAGCAACAGTGGAGAGAGGCTGTATGTGGGAGAAGCTGAAAGGAGTTTAGTTGCAGAGGTGCAGCCTTGATCTTCAACTCGTGGGGGGAGGGCAGGACTCCATACTGACTTCTCCCAGCCATTCTGAGCCCCCAGCACCACAACAGTTTGTCACCCCCAGCAGAAAATGGAGAGAGAAGCCAGGCCCTTTCCTTTCCCACAGAAAGCCACCATTTAAAGCCCAACCTGTTTTTTCCCCAAAACGAGGCAGAATCTTCCAGCAAGGATGCAACTCGCCTTACGTGCTTCTTGTAAGGGAAGGAGACCGGTGAGTACTGCCAGCATGCCTAGGGAAGGAGCTGGTGGATTGTTCTGCCAGTGCTGGATGGTGACAGTGAGGGACAACAGCACGTGCAAGTGACATGTTGCTGTATTTTAACATGAACACATCTTAGACCAGCAAAACTCATGTGGGTAGACCAGTCCCAAGAGTTGCCTGTTTTTGAGGAAGGAGCACACAGGCTGCTCTGACAGGAGGAGGAGTTACACGTGCTGGAGCAACTGGTCATCTGAACAAGACAACAATGGTTAAACAAAGTTCAAAGGAGAAAATCCAGCTCAGACAGGTAAGGAAATGTCAAAGGCTGAAGGAAGAGGGCTGAGAGGAGTGGTTGAATTAAATGAAGGATGGAAAAGGGGTTTTCTGTTGAAACAAACAGCAGGGGGCTGAGGGGTAGAACTATGATGGGTAGGAAGTAAAAAATGTTGAATCAAAATTAAAATACACAGAGTTTTGGAGAAGATTAAATGCACAAGTGATTTAACTGGCACTTCATTGTGCATAATTTCTTTGATTATTTGATCTGTGTATTTGAAAACAATCGCTGAAATAGCTCAAAGCAACTTTAACATAAGCAACTTTAACTTTAGCATGGCAATGTATATGCTTTGTTTTCTTCCCCCTGATCTAACTCCTCTATCAGACTGTTTTTGAGGTGAGCAGAGGACAGGCTCTGCATTTGGGTACACGCTTTGTAGTTGCCGTGACTCTGTACAGTAGCCTCAGGGAGCCAATTACAGGGCAGAGATAAAGCATGATCAGCTTTTCATGCAGGAATTCCATCCTCCCAGAACCAAAGAGTCTAGGAAGAGCAGATAGTGATTTCTTAATGAAAAATGCCTCTCAGAAGGATGAGGCATGCTAGCTAACAGCACCAATGCACCGAAGAATTAAGAGTTGTAGCTGCAATTGGTGTGTCTCCAAGGCTGCTGCTGGAGGTGTGCTGCCGGTTTTCAGAGGTGATCCTTGCCAAGGCCTCCATCAGCTGAAAGGTGCCTGTGGTGCTGATGGGGCAGCTGGTTCTAATCAGTACCTCACCTGCACGCTGAAGGGGACGAAAAAGGCTTTTCAGTTTAAGCACTGTTATTCACTCTAAAAGCACCCTACTAAAAATGATGTAATGATAACTGGATAGCCACTCTTTTCCAGTTAATTAATGCAAATCCTATAGGAATACCTTATATTCATTGTACCAGATGAGCACAAAGCAAACTGGTAGAATAAATGTCACAGTAAGAGGGACGATTCAGACTGCAACACCCGGTAACCCACAAACCATCTCACGTTTATATAAAAATGTAGAGATGGACACATACTTCACTCATTACATTTTGCTGCAAAGAAAAGTATCAGTCTGTCTTTTCTCTGTAAGGTGCTCTTTAGCTGATAAAATAGAATCATAGAATCATTAAGGTTGGAAGGGACCTTAAAGATCATGAAGTTCCAACCCCCCTGCCATGAGTAGGGAACCCCACCACTAGATCAGGTGGCTTAAAACCTCATCCAACCTGACCTTGAAAACCTCCAGGGATGGGGCATCAACAACCTCCCTGGGCAACCCATTCCAGTTCCTCACCACCCTTACAGGGAAGAATTTCTTCCTAATATCCAACCTAAATCTCCCCTCTCTCAGTTTAAAACCACTGCCCCTTGTCCTATCACTATCTTCTCTGATGAAAAGCCCCTCCCCAGCTTTCCTGTAGCCCTGTTCAGGTACTGGAAGGTGCTATGAGGTCTCCCCAGAGCCTTCTCCAGGCTCAACAGCCCCAACTCTCTCAGCCTGTCTTCATAGCAGAGGTGCTCCAGGCCTTTGATCGTCTTGGTGGCCCTTCTCTGGACCCTCTCCAGCAGGTCTATATCTTTCTTGTGCTGAGGGCACCAGAGCTGTACACAGTACTCCAGGTGGGGTCTCACCAGAGCAGAGCAGAGGGGCAGAATCACCTCCCTGGCCCTGCTGGCCACACTTCTTTTGATGCAGCCCAGGATGCAGTTGCTGTCTGGGCTCCAGCACACACTGGCAGCTCATGCCAAGCTTGTCATCCACTACCACCAAGTCTTTTTCCTCAGGACTGCTCTCCAGCCATTCTCCCCCCAGCCTGTATTTGTGCCTGGGGTTGTGCCGACCCAGGAGCAGGACCCTGAAAGAGGAATAAACACTTTTCTAGGATTACGTTTTGATTTGACAATGTGATGAGGATATTTCTCCAGCTCAGTAGCTGTTGAACAGCAGGGGTTGCTCTCTGTTCCTGCCAGCATAGGCTGGTATTACATTTATTTATTTTGTAGCACATATGCTTATACAGGTTAATTTTCCTGGGGTTTTCCTCTTCAATCATGGTGGAGTCAGATCCAGGATTAGACTTTAAGGTGAAAGTGATTCTTTACCACAGGACCACTAAGCTCTAGAAAGAAGAGCATTCCAAAAGATTCTAAAGTGTTAACAGGGAAAGGCTACAGAGGAAGGGGATGGTAACAACTTCCCTCGCTTCCTGGTTCAGAAATGGCATTTATTGCTATTGTCTGCATCAGGGAATGATGACATTGTCCCTTCAGCA